AACACAGTTGAGAAGCATTACAATTTTATTGTAAATATATAATTAGTGCTTTTATGATAATGGATGTTTAGAACTCGGTAAAACTGGCTATATAGGAAGAAGTGTGGCCAAATGATGGAGTTGCAGGATTTCGACCGTTAAATATTGGGAGGTATATTTTCCACCATTTATTGGCCAATTTGGGGTACCTTTGCAGGTCAGTTGTTTTCAACGGATTTACTCAAAAATACACCCGAGAATAAATACATTGTCTTTAATAAGGCTAATGAATTACTTTATATTATTGGATTTTAGCGTTAACTGAAACGAAAGGAGATTTTTGTCCATTGAATTAAATTCAATTTTGTTTTAGTATTTGATGTTGTTGTTTTTTTTTTAAATAAACCGTAATATGAGGTAACTTTAAGCAGCTGGTAAAATTTAGTTTGTGATGATTCCGTAGTGGGTATACTGTGTTGCTTCAGTCTTGTAATTATTGTGAATAATTTTATGTGGCCAGTGCAGCTTGTTTTGTGATAATACCAGGGCCATGCTATCAATGTGTAAGGGCAAGTTGGTCTGTCATAGCTGAAAGTAATTAACAACAAAAGTTCAAGATTACCTTTCGACTCTTACCGGACATTAGAGGAATAAGAGTCCTGTCGAACGGAGCAAATTATGTTTGAAAATAATAAGAGAGGGTTAAGGTAATATAAAAAAAGGGAAAATTATTTATGTTTATAAAGGAATTCATTGGGCTAACTCTATTGAATACTTGACTTACGTGCTCTAAAAAAGATATTTCCAAAAAAAAAATAAAACACTCTAAAAAAAAAAGTTTTATTTTATCATTATTTATTTTTAAAGTATTATTAAATTGTAAGCTCTATTATTAGATATTAAATTATTCAACAGCATAAAATTACTTCTGAGAATCATATTTATTTTTAGCCTTTGACGTGAAAAAGGAGTATCATCCCTTTTTAACATGTCACTTTATAACATAATTGATAATGTAATTAAATATAAGATAGAATAAGGTGGAAAATAAGCAGTTTAATCTGTCCTGCCGCTGACATTTATCACTGAGAAAAAGCCGCAGCTACAGGGGAAAAAAGGGAACATTAAAGGGAATGTAAATAAAGGGAAGAAAGAGAAAAGGGAAAGATACGAGAGAAAGGGCGGGTTAAGGAAAAGGGCCCTAATGTTTATGAATACAGAACAGCTCCACTAATGGCTTAATTGTTTTATTATACCGCATTAAATTAGCGCCCATCTTCCAAGAGTTATCTGTTTATTTATCCTCCCTAATTATCCCTAATTCCTTATTCTATATCCCTTCTTCTCTATCCGAATTCCTTCTCTTGGTGGTTTTAGGGCATTATTGCATGATGGCCTGCACTAGCGGATTCAATGGGGGAGGGATTTTCGTGCTCAAGCCTACCCAAAATATTTTTTTTTCATTGATCAATATATTTTTTTATGAGTAATCTGAGACTTTAACCTTCTCTAGTTTAGCGGTGGTGGTTAGAATCCTGCCTGAGCAGACAGAAATTTATTTCTTGGAGAACCCACGGAACGAATCCAGACCTTCCCACTTCTGTACGTCTAGGTCAACCACCAAACCGTTAACGAAGAAAATCGAAAATTGAACCTAAATATCTTCGTTTTTCAATTAAAATGTATGTAGTTCCGCTAAATACATATGAATATACATAAATATAAATAAAAATTAAAGCTTTAGTAAGAAAAATTATTTTTAAAAAATCTCCTTAATAGTATTGCTCTGTAACTACCGTCCTTAAACCAAAAGATAAATAAATAGACAAAAATGTTAGCCCCGTCCCACAATTAAACGCTTGATCCCCAATTACTTATATTTAAGATATTTTAAGACTATTTTATATTAGATTCGGAATATTTTGCTTGCATGTTTTAAAATTAATTACATATGTGATTAATTTCTGCTCAGTTAAAGCTAGTGAAAATTTATTGATTTTCATATATAGGTAAGTGAAAATTAAAATTATAGATGGTACTACATGTGTATGTAAAGCAAGTAAAGCAATCACCTGGTCTATCCATTGAGGTAATGCGTATATTTTTCGCCACTTACTGTGCCTTATGATGTTAGGTATTAATTTTTCTAAACAGTTTATTATTTCCAGTACTTTTTCAACCGGAGAAAATATTTCACTTTTTTTCATAACATATTATTCATTTTTTTTTTACTAACAGCAAGTGATAATTAATTATTTTAAATAAATATTATTATATGTATTTTGGAGGAAGCCATTTAAAAGTCATACACGGTGGGCCAGACCCCCCCCCTTACAGTGCACCCCCCTCCCCCAAATCCCTATAAATTGCATATCGTTGTGTTTCTTGTAACTATTTATTAAAAAAAAAAGCTTAGTTATAGTGATATAATAACATTTTTGGTACATTATATACTTTTTTTTTTTGTAACATTGGCTTTTTTTAATAAATAGTTACGAGGAACACAACGATATGCAAATTATAGGGATGTGAAAGGGAGGGTGCACGGTAAGGGAGTCTGCCCCACAGACTATCATGTCCTTTTCTTTGAATGAATTGTGGGGTCTTCGTAACTTGCGGTGAAATATTGAGATCGTATCATTATTTTTCACTGAAAGTCGAAAAATGTCACATACAGACAGCTATTATTACGTAACAAGTTTTTAATGAAGTAATTTTAGATTCGTAATTTTATTGAATTTTCATATAAAATAAACTGAATGCGCGAAGTAACATTTTTCGTAATAATTGGTCGTAACAGTGGTACTAAAGCTATACGGAATCCACTCACGTTTTAGAACTTGTATTAATTAGTTAAGTTGCCCAAAGAAGTTGGATAAAGGACTTGGAAAGAGCTTTCTGGATTGCCTGAGCGGACTTATAATTGCGATACTTATCCGCTAATACTTAATATATCTATAATCACAATTACTTATATTACGTGTACGTAAGTGAACATTACTAAATATTTTAGGATATGAATAGATTTCAATCTCACATTTTAGGTTAATTTTTAAGATTTTTTTTCTTAAAATTTGCACATCGCAGGTGTGAAATGAAAATTAAAAAAAAAAATATCCTAAAAATTAAAAGTAAAGTTAATAAATAAATAAAGTTAAAAAAATATATATTATAACGGTGAACGGTATAAACTGGAACATAAGTACTCCTACAGATAACTAGAGCGAACTCCCACTCTTCGCCACTCTCAGCAGTTTTTGACAAAAATTAAGCGTTTTGAATGGTCTAATGCTGGCAAAAGCCGCTCATTCTTAGCAGGAATCTAATACTATTTAATCTTATTACATATTCTTACATCTCCTAGTATTCATTTAGTTTTATAGTTAGATAAATTCGCTGCTGATTAGAAACTAGAACCTGGAGGCTTCGCCAGGAGAGATGTGTCTTAAGTTTTTAGCAAAAAACACACATTCCTGCACATCATTGTAGTTCTTTCATTCCGAAGTTGTCATATTTAATTCTTTTAGCATTTGAAAATTGAGTAATGGGTGCCGAAACTGGTGCATACAAATACATTTACATTTTACCGTTTTTCCATAAAAAAATAAATGAAAGACACCGTTTCACTTATATATTTTGAAATTAGAGTTCATTATTGTCTTAACAGAATTAAATTGTTGAACCAAGTATCCACGTGACCGAAAACGAGACACATTTTAATGTTTCCTTATGGGTACCAAAACTTGGGATTTTACAAGAGTAAACACATTTTTACTGGACAACACATTAATCATGGGTTCTATCAATAAACATGTGTTGCTCAGTCTTCGGTTTATATATTTGAACGTTATAAGTTCAAAATCAGCGGATAAAGGTAGCAATAAATTTTAAAGGTAGAAATGAAAGTCATTAATTATAATTAAACTATTTCTTTTTTTGAATATTTAATAGTTGACCGTTGCATTATAAAGAAAGGAGATGGTCCGAGGTGGCTGTCATAATTAGTGGCAAAACTATTTTATTAAAAGCCAACGTTTCGACCCAATTTTGCAGGTCTTCTTTAGTGCTAGAACGGACCAGATACAAAAAGGTAGACAATTGTGGAAGTTACATAATATTTAGACAAAAAAATTACAAAAAATGCGAATAAGCTTATTAAAATTATAAACAGTAAGTACATTAAATATAAAGTAAAATATAAACAGAGTAAGCTAAGTAACAAGATACTAAACTGAAGTAAACAGATGGTAACAATTGTTGTAGTGTAATATATAATATATGAAAATGCGAATATACTTTTACAGATCTACAGAAGAGATTGAAAGAAAAGGAAAAAGGAAATAATATGAAATAATAGACATAAAGGTAATAAGACTATATCTAAAAGTCTTTGAGGTGTGTTGAGCTTAGGAGTTTCACATAGAACTGGAAAACTAGGGTAATGGCAGGTATCGGGGAATTTGCTGACTAATTGACCCTGAAGAAGACCTGGAAAGTCGGGTCGAATCGTTGGCTTTTAATAAAATAATTTTGCCACTATTTAGCATTTTTATGACCGCCAGCCCGGACCAGCTCCTTCCTTCATTTCTTTTTTTGTTTTATGATTCATACCTTATGGTTAAATAGAGGTGGGAATCTGTTGAGTTATTTATTTTATCATTATTTAACCTAGTGAGGCAAACATGCAATTAAATATTTAAAATTCTTTTTTCTTATGTCATGAGACTTTATTTAAATTATTTTTAATTTAAATAATATAATTCAATTACGCTCTTATTTATTTTTTTCAATGCAAGAGGAGAAAAAAGATATCAATATATGATACTGCCATCATTAATAAATTTTCAAAACCAATAACGTTTATTGAGCCTCTATTCTGGCATTGCAGATCTTCCTTCGGAAGTTACAAACGAATCAAGGGGAAATCCTACAACGAGCAACCCCTGGAATATTTGATAAGAAAATTAAAACAATGAAAAGTGTATTTATTTTTTGTAAAATAAATTGTAAACAATAAACTTCTGCAACTAAATCACAGCCTCGTCAGCTCAAGAGGAAGGCAGCCACTACTGGCCCGCCTCCCTGGCAGTGGCCTGCTCCAGCATCTCCACCATTATCCTGTGGCCCTCCTTCCTCGCCACCTCCAGAGGGCTCTGCCCCAGGCTGTCCCTCAGGGTGGGGTCAGCCCCGTGGGCCAGGAGCACCGCCGCCACCTCCGACCGCCCCTCGGCCACGGCCAGGTGCAAAGAGGTCCTCCGCAGCCAGCCCACCGTGTCCACCGAGGCTCCGGTCGACAAGAGCTCCTTCACCGCCTCGATCCTCCCCCTGCCGGCCGCCTCGTGGAGTGCCGTGTCCCCGACGGTGTCCGGCTTGTCCACCTCCGCCCCGTGCTCTGCCAGGATGCTGATGGAGTCCTTGCGCCCGTGGGCTGCTGCCGCGTGCAGGGGGGTGGTCCCATCGTGTGTTGTGTAATTCACCTTGGCTCCTGAAAAATCATATTCCTTTATGCTGCAAGAAAATTAAGTCATTTTAATATGTAAGTAATTAATAAATAAAATTCAAATGCGTAGGGAAGAACATTGGAAGTGCTATGCAATTACGTGCTGAGGTCTATAAAAATATGATGTTAGTTCTTCTATCAGAATTACAAAAGTAGAAAATAAAAACTAAGAAGAGAAACGTTACAAGGTTAATTATTACTAATTGTATTGTACCAAGTATTGTATTACGCCTCATTTTAAATGTATGTAAATGTTGTTACAAGTTAATATTTACTGTCATAAATTTATTGTTCATACCTTTATGTTGCAAGAAATTTAAGTAATTTTACTGCTAATTAAATCTTAGAGTCAGTCTTTCCAAGTTGGCTAACGCGTTTGCAAATCATCTGATGCCCAGCAACTTGATTAACAAGATAACATGACAATATAATCATGAGTTCGCGCCCTGGTGTCGGAGGGACCTTTTAACTGTGGAATTGATCCTCTGCAGTCGTCTCTGTCCCGTGAAAAAAAAAATTGTAACGTAATCTTAAGGTGCTTTTAGACATTTCACAAACACTGGGAAAAACAAATATATAAGCAGCTATTTTAATATGCTAGTGTTTTTGTTTCTTGTTTTTAGATATTTTCCATATGCTGTTGATACCAAGAGATTTAAGGAAAATAATTTGGTTTTGTTAAGATAGATAATTGCGTTCCCAATTTTTGTAAAATGTTTAAACGCACCTTTATGTATAGGTACAAATAGGTATTTGTAGGGTAATCATTAGGTTACTCTGTGCGATATATTCATAAAATTAGAAAGGAACTGAGAAGAAGAAACAATCAACTGTCACATCATGTTGGCTACAGATCCTTATTTAACTTACAAAGCAAACAATATATATATATATATATATAATACTATACTGAGATACATTTGGACAAAGGAAACGTCCATATAAACAAAGTAAAACTACACCATACAAAATTCTTCGAAAAATTGGTAATGCACCATGCTGTCTGTAATATACAATTATTACCAGTAATGATTGCAAAGAGCAGTTTTATATAAATCTTGAAGCAAGTTATATATGACACATAAATTATATTTAGATTACCACCAAAAAATTATAAGCATGACCTTATTTAAGAATAGTTAATAATTTATCAAATAATCCACTCTATTTTAAAACATGAATAATTGCTAATTACAGGAAATCTTATTTTTTTGAAAACTTAGAGATAGCTATAATCATTTTCTGAATGGAAATTTAAAAAAAAATCTTCTATTCTTAATGTATGATGAATGGATACAATTATCTATGATCTAGCCTTGGTTTTACTTATTAATATACTTCTAACCGGATACGAAAGGTACTTGATGTGTAATTACGTGATATTGCGATATAATAATGGATGGATGGGAAAAATAAGATAATTAAATTAATTGTATACAGATTTTCTTTACTAAAAAGATATAGGGAAAAAATGACATTAAAACCATTAATTTAAAAAATATATATTCATTACAATATGTGAAAAAAATATACTTTCTCCATATATAAATGGATGGATGATATGAATGAATCCATGAAAAGGGGAATTGCCGACTAATTTTAGATGAAAAAACAGTTTTGGATAATGAATGCCTATAGTCCGTGCCTTTTTATCAAATTAAATTCATCCGCCTGAAACTTCGTAAATAACTTTATTTCATCGTAAACTACAAATATTTAATTTATGAAAATTCTCGGAATGGGGGCGTTTTTAATCTGGAGGTCAGCAAACATTGTAAACATACTAAAAACTCGGAAATACCCATTTGCTTTCCGCTTGGATCGTAAGATAATTTGGTTACATCGATAACAAAGATGGGCTATAAAAATATTGGGCCATTTACTCTATATAACCTCGGTATTTTGATAATTTGGGGGTGCAGGTCACGCCAAGCGGCTCAATATTTTTGAAGGCCATCTTTTTTCTCGACTTTGTGCTTAAATTATTTTACGATTCAATCGGAAAGAAAATGAGTGTTTGCCAGTTTTTTTAACCTAATTAAATAGAAAAAGTTTGCAGACCTATAGATTGAAAACACCCCAATCCTGAGAATTTTCGTAAATAAAATATTTATAGGTTGCGATGAGATGAAGCTATTGACGAAGTTTCAGACGGAAGTTAATACTTTTATAAAAAAGGGGTCTGTACCACGGATTACTAGTTTTTAATTAAAAATAAATAAAAGCGCTATGGAGTTGATTTTTAATAATGTTTTATATATAAAAGAAATATTTTGGGATGGAAAAAAATTGGGTTTGTAAAAAAACAAAAAACATTTTGATAGCTTAATTTAACTTAAATTTACCCTAAAGTTGTCTAATATTGGTTGGCTGTAATATGCTAAATGCCGTCAAAATTATGATGTCCATTATACCAAGAGACATTGTTGATTATCTAAGCCTCTAAAATCTGCAATAAAGATCAGATTTTAGATTGGTTTACTTCTTTTTTTGTGATATTGTTCCACAGTTATTTCACAAAGTTCAATCTCATTAAAGCTATAATGATATTTTTTATGTTTATTGATTTGAAAACAGATAAAAGAGTGCTTAAAACAAAGTTGATACTTTGGAAAACACTTTTTACCTTTGGTGAAGCTAATATTGACAGAAATAGCAATAAAGACAGACGAGTGACGAGAATTAACATCTGTTTTCAACACGCAATCTAAGGTCAAGGGTGAATGGAATTCCTACTAAATGTATTCATGGCTCCAATTAGATAAATTGTGAGCTTAGTTATCTGGCGTTATTTATCAGCAAATATTAAGAATTAAGGATTTTATATTTAAGGGATAGATGTTATGCAATCTGCTATGTATAATTACTTTTAATTATGGATCTAAATAAATGCATAGTAATTCGTATAGTAAACACAACATTAACAAATAACAAATAAGTACATGCTATTAAAAATTCTATTACAGCTAAATGACACGTTTAACAATCTAACGAAACTATACGAGCTTTCCTATGTTTTCAGAAACGATTCAAGGATTTCTGATTTACTGGCATTTTAGACTATTGACGAAAACACATTAGCAAGCTAACATGACAACAACCGTTATGTTAATATGTACAGAAATAAATAGGGAAAGCTGAAAAGAAATCGGATAAAGGATCTCTTGGTTTAGCCACTTAAGCCTTATGTTAGAAGTTCATACTGTTGACAAGAAGCTACCAACTATTTCATTTAACGGAAGGACCTAAACCTAGTAACCATGGAGTGGACGGACGAGAAATGTCTTTGCTTATTGAACTATATAAAAATATCCTTTATTGTGGGATCATAGATATTTAAATCATATAAAAATAAAGAAGTAAATAATAAATAAAATTCAAAGGTGTAGGGAAAAACATTGGAAGTGCTATGCAATTATGTGGTGAGGTCTGTAAAAATATGATGTTAGTTCTTCTATAAGGATTTCACAGATAGAAAATAAAAACCAAGAAAAGAAACGGTACAGGAAAGGGTAATTATTACTAATTACTAATTATATTGTATGAAGTGTTGTATTAGACCTCATTTGAAATGTATATAAATGATGATACACGTTAATATTTACTGTCATAAATTTATTGTTCATAAATTAATAATATAAATCATTTAAATATCAGTGAATTGTATAGATATTAAATTAATTATATTTATAACTTATTCACCAGGCATAAATTAATTTAATTTATCATCATTTATCAACGCTGTAAAAAAAATTGTGGGACGAATTGTTCCTTCAGCGAACACTTCTGGAACGGCCGTGTTCGCAAGCCCCTTTCTCATCTAGTGTTACAGGAGCATGGAGCGTCGTAGGTTCGCAAACATAATGGATACTCGACTTTTTATTCAAAACCTTGTTTTGGAATAACCTGGCGTATAATTTAATGGAATAATTTAATTTCATATACCACAGTATTCATATTTGTCAGTCTGGGTTCAAATAGTTTTCACGTCAGGCTTTAAAACATTGCGTAAAATTATCTGATTATAAAACCTAATTGTGAAACTAGGAAACATCACTAGTATTTTAGAGAGTGGACTTTTATTCATAATGATAAATAACATATTGAGTTGGTTGATTTATTCTTAAATAATTTTAAAAAAAATTAAGCAATTTTTTTAAGAATATGGGATTTGTATTTGATTGGTTTTACAAAATTAATGTTGATAGTATTCGAAATAAAATACTTTGACAGGATAAAGATAAAATTTGTTATAAATTTTGAATAATGAAAATATATTATTTTATGTTTTTTGAATTTTTTTTTAAACGTTGAAAGGGCCCTAAAGGGTTGTTTTATATTTATTCCGCTAGTAACACCTGTAAAACAATAACGACCCTTGAATCATTTTAACATGTAAGTATCATTCCCTAATTAATTGATATCTTATATTGAAAAAGAAGTTTTTTGAAACATATATGTTATTTTTTTTTTCAAAAATATATTTAATGCACTTCTGATCGAGCTAAACTTTAAGAACTTGTAAATTTCTATCATATTTCTTGTAATGAAAACTCATCAAAATAATCATTTATATTTATTTTGTATTGAAAAAGTCACATTAACTGTACGATATTTTGATTTCACATTATACGATTTTATATAATTTAATTCGATGTTTTTTTTTGGGCTATAAATCCAGGAAATAACAAATTGTATTCCTTTAAACTATTCAAGATAACCCCATTCAAAGTTTTTAATATTAAAAAGGATAAAAAAAGTAATTTAAAACAATAATATAAGGTAATAAAATCAATACTATACATGTAACATTAACTCGGAACTGATTAACCGCTATTGTAAAAGTTATCTTGATAATTAAAATTCTGTATTTTTGTAATGCGTTCCTGTTTTTTGTATTATTTAAATTAAATATATTTGTATGACTTTTTCGGGAAAATATTCATAAGCTCCTTCTTCTTAAACTCTGATAGGTGTAATATACTCATTTACAACATGCCTTCGTGAAAATGTTTAGTCTAAATTAAAAAAAAAAAAATACGTTTATTTAGGGAACTTACCTTTCTCTATGAGCAGCTGTAGCACTCCCACTTTCCCTTTGCCAGCGGCGTCGAAGATAGGTGTCATACCCCACTGATCAATCGACTCCATATCCGCGCCCGAAGAGAGCAGTATATCTGCCACCGCCTCCCTCCCCTCGAAAGCCGCACGATGAAGAGGAGTCGATCCTTTGCTGTTCTTCCTATTGACGCTGTCACCCTTCTCCAGGAACATCTGGACCAAGTCGACGTGCCCTCCGCTCACCGCCTTGAACAGTGGAGTCTCTTCTGATCCGTTGACGGCTAATGGTTCTGCGCCTTGCGAGAGTAAGTACTCAGCCACCGTCCTGTTCCCTGAGAAAGCTGCCTTGTGAAGTGGAGTTTCCCCGCTGGAGTCTTGGATCTTGAAAGAGGCCCCTGCCTTTACTAGTTCCTGGACGATCTCCAGGGTCCCTGAAAGAGCCGCCCAGTGGAGTCCAGTCCACCCCTTCTTATCTTTCACTTCGTTCAGCTTGAATCCTTTGCTCAGCAATGATTTCATTGTCTTCATATCGTTGTCTATGATAGCCGTTATCAGCAGGTCGATCAAGGGAACTTTTTCCTTCTCTCCAGGCATCTGAAACAATGGAACCACCGATCACTACGACAATACTCCAACTACTTATTCCTCTACAAACACTGCACACATCTGCATGTTGTTCTGCTCCTTGTGATCGTCAGAACTGACTTACCATGGCAGCTTGTCAATTGCTACGGACGTCAAGTTCTTTAAATAGATAACAATAGGAATCCTAGGTAGCGCAACTGCAGTTTAGATGCGTAAGTCGGGTTAACCGCATTCATTGCATTATATTTTTTCTCCACTGTACGTACATAGTTTTTTTTAGAGAAAGAACTGCAGTGGTTATCATAGACCATTATATATTTTTTCAAAACTGTTTAACTTAATATGCTCATATTTAATATTTTACACTCATTGATTTATCAATTAATATTTAAATATTCCATGACATTTCCTATATTTCTTTAATGCGTTTTTATTGCTATTTTTGGATAAAATAATAAAAAGTTCATTAAATTGTCAATTACTTATTCTATATGGTTTTGTGTTCTATTCTATGTGTTTAATAAACACATATAGATAGTTTTTAGCTACTCTGCAACTCTTAATAAATATTTAATATATGCTAGAAATTTTCATATTTTTCACTTGTCAGTTATTTTAAAAGGAAGATAAATAAATAATGTATATCGGTGGTTGAAACTTTAATGGAAGTTTTGTAAAAAACTTTTAACAGTTTTATTTTTAACAGTCTCTGAGATACATTTTATTAAACAAATATTTTTAAAATAAAAGTACTAAGAAACTGTTTTAAATATAAAATTCTTGATTTATGGTAAAAGTTTAACTTTTATTCATTTTCTTAAGAAATTTCCCGTTACATAATAAACAAACAGTTTATTGGACTCAGAAAAAATATATCATACATCTGAAATAAATTAGCAAATTCTTAAGTGTACTTTATTTGCATAGATAAGAATAAACTGTATTATACTAACAACAAAAATTAATGTTAAAACTTAATTCAAGCTCTGGTGTGATGATCAAATGCAAGACCAAGAGGAGACTTAACCAGTCTCAACACACCTGGTCTTGGTCTTGCGTAAGAGCCTTGCAATAACATATCAGTTTTTTGCTATTTATTAAACATGCTACTTTAGATCTTAGAAAAACACTACCGAATAGATACATTTAGAGGTTTTATTCACATAGACATAGTAAAGTTCAACCAAATTGATAAAATTAATTTGAATAGGCATTGTCAAGAAAGAAAGCGGTAAGCTCCTTCCTCAGATTGAATGAAACACTATTATTGCAAAGTCAATCTATACAATGTTACCATTTTATAAAATGAAAAATCTGGTGTGCTCACTTACACGACTTTCCTACTGATTGTAAACCAATTGAATTTTATAACTTTAATTATGTACATAGAAAAACACAATTAAATTAGATTAATTTTAAAAACTGAAAAGATAAATCACTAAGATACGATTAATTTGATGATCTAAATCAAGGAGAAAACGCACGTGAACCGTTATTAAAATCAGAGTAAAATATTCGACATACTGTAATGTTGTTAAAACTGACCCGACTTGAACATTTTAAAAATATTTTTGTCGGAAAATTAATAATCTTTCAAAAATAAACTTAATTGGAGAGAAAGGCTCTGAAACGTAAAGTATCTTTAATTATACAAGCTATGTTCATAGGATTATGAACATAGCATATATAATGTGTACATATATATAATCCGCAGACGTTCAGTTCTAGTTGGTGGGGGAGGGGGGAGGGGGTATGGATCTCCTTAAAAAAAGGCTCCGAGGTTTACATTATGTATACAAATTATTACTGATAATCAACATGGGTAGCTCAGCGGTAAATTTTCGACCAGTTACCATATTTTCCTTTGGTCAAATCTGATTACAGAAAATAATTTATCATAAACATACCTAATTGTAAAAGGGAAAAAAAACATGCATTTATTACAATCTCCTCGGTCTTCTAAATTATATTTTAAATATATATCACACTTTTATTTTAGAGAAAATAATCTTTTCGCTCATGGAGGGAATTATTCGCTCGCAGCGACATGAATGCAATCTCATTACTTCCGATCTGGTGGGAAAGAGGGGAGAGACAATCTGCTAGGAAGATAACCCGCATTTTCCGCCCCCCTTAGCATATTTTATGTCCCTGAGTGCTATTGTTTAAATGGGACCTCTGTCGGCAAAGGGCTTTTTATTGCTAACCATAATGCAATTTGTCAGCATCTGTTTTGTTAAAGTTTATGTTTAAAATCGTCAACTTCACCTTGATATACGATTTGTATTAATCTGTCATTTTATTAGGTTTAATTCAAGTATACTTCATTCGGCAAAGTTATAACAATAAATAATGAAACATTTGATAGACGTTCCGTTCTTTTTGGAACATTTAATAAAATGTAGGTGTTAAAACTCTCCTTTAAGATAAAAAAAAAAAAAACGCTGCAAATTATTTCACAATGGTTTATTATTCCCAAACCATTATATATCTAAAGTAACATTACCTTCCTAGTGAAAAAGAAAAAGAAATAAAGGGTGACTCTAATACTTCAGTAACATATACTAAAAACTAAAACCAAAACATTGGATATAACCTTTGCAGTAGAACATATAAAAAAACATCTACAGACCATATCTTTGCTCCTAATTAACCGATTTTAACGAATTTTGTTTCTTTTAGGAAATTCCGTAAACTTTTGAATAACAATAAACAATATTAACAAAAAATTTCATACTTTTTGAGTTATTCGGAATCTATTATTACAATCCCTTGAAACTTTTTTCCAGCTTCTTTTCATTGAAGTATGTTATATAGATAAATTGAAAAGGCATCGAGAAGAAGAATTTATCAAAGTTTCATTAAAATCGGTAAATGCGTTTAGCCGATACAGTCTATAGCAACGCAGGTTTTTCGGTCGCCATCTTGAAAGGAAAAGGCGGATAGAAATGTCGATGAAGGAGGATCATCTTCGGGCGACCTCTAATTTCAAATCCAAATTTGAAAAAAAATCAGACTATTAGTTTTGAACAAAATGCGCGAACGGCGGACGGACAAAAAATTTTTATTTGTTTTTCGAATTCTATTTATCCTGAAACGCAAAACCTCAAATTTTGGGAGCGTTATGTTTTTGAACTTTTTTTCGATCACTATGGTTCACTTTTAAAAATAATAAACCAAAAATTAACAGTTTCTTCTAAAGAAAATTTGAACTGAAAATCATAACAAGTGATGATTTTGTTAAGAAATTTTTTTATTAGTACTTTGTTAATATGAATTAAAAATTTTATATAAATGTTTTGCGAAGTTTAAAAAAAAAATCTTATTAATTTATAAGTGTACAAATTTACATTTTTTTCCGAAAAGATGTTGAAGGGAGATATAATAAATTTATTATAGAATCTATCGGAAAAATAGTAAAAATTGGAGAATATATATATATATATATATATATATATATATATATATATATATATATATATATATATATATATATATATATATATATATATATATATATCAACAGGGCCACTTAAGTAAAGGAAAATATTCAAAGGTGTAATAGTAGATCTCATGTGTAAAGTTAAACATTAAAACAACAGGATATTATAACTCAAAAAATATCCAATTTATTAGACAAAATTTCAATCCTCTTTGATTTTTTATTTATTAAAAACTATTTAAAGGGGTTCTGATACGGCTAAAATATACTAAATTTTTCACTTCATAAAATCATGAATATTTTGCAATTTTTTTCGTTACTCATCAATCATGCTACCTACGGATGTCCGATATTTAGAAAGATACCTCGTTTAATATGGTTTAATTTCATATTAATTAAGTTGAGATTTGTTACAGAATAAACTGAGATTCACCTCAACATGTGTTAAAAAATGGTGTGATTTCGTAATCTGCCAAACCAAAGTACAACCATAAATTGTTATATTGAGAAAACAGCGTCTGATGAAAAAATTAACTAGTATCAGTGTGGAAAATTCATATCAATCTAAGATTCATTACTTCTAAGTTCATTTATCTTAGGAAAATAAAATCCTAAGCAATTTAAGAATTTTTCAGAGCTGAAATCTTGTAAATATTTAAATATTATTTTATTCTAGTATTTGTTAATATAGTACAACAATTTTTATTCATTATTTTACGTTTTAAAAACCTATTTTAACGATTTAATTTATCATATTTTCAATAAATTAATAAAATACATACAGAATTTAAATTAAATTTTAATTTTTAAAAAAAGTTTGCAAAATGTCTTGTTCTTCCGGTGCAACTTCGTGGCATACCACCTGTACTGAACAAAACCTTAAACTTTCTCTCTTTGCCTTAATTATGTAACTAATATAAATTCATTTATTTCTAATATTAAATTTATTTCTCATATAATGTTGTATTTCTAATAGATGTTAAGCTATATGTAAAGTAAATACTTTTTCTCACATAAAAGTATTTATAAAACTAAATCAGTCTTTTATAAAAAATATATCGACACAAAAATAAAAATATTCGATTTATTAAATGATAAATTTTAATATAAGCAATGATAATATTCATATTGATTAAGGAGAGAGTACAAAGCTTGGACCTACCTTCATGAGATATCAGCCGGGTGATACTAAAGCCAACAGCTCGACTATTAATACACAGATCACTGGCACAATCTATTGAACCTGGATTGTCAACAGAAACCTCCCGAATGTCACAACCTCAATGATATTAATGTCTTCTTGGTTCATCAGCCTCTTGTTGACAACAAATCTATGCCCTCTCTGTTTCGTAACATCGAAATTAAATATAAATTATTTCATTGCAATCGATAATGCGTTCTTTAAAATTCGTTATACTCGACTTAGATTTATACAACTACTTAAGATCACTGAATATCGACACAAAATTAATAAAACTCTTATCTGATATTTACAACTCTTTAATGTATATGTTTAAGACTCGGCTAGATCGTGCAGACGGATCGAAGAATTCAGACTAACTCTGGTTTTGATCCAAGCTGTAGTACAGAAATAACTTTTGCCTTTCGCGATATAGGGCATAAACATTGCTAAACCATTTCATGATATTTCATACAACACACTGATATAAGATCAACATCTGTTCTTATTCATTTTCTGACATTATGTGTTGTTGAAATTAATTGGCTTTTATAGTTATATAATTTTCACATTATCCATACAAATAATTTCGGCTTGTAATTATTATTATTTTTATTAGACTTTCTGTTTGTTTTTTTATGGTCAAATAAAGGACTGGAAGTAAAATTTTAAGCACAGGGATACACAGGGAGCCTTTCAGACTGAGGTCTTCCCGAGACCGGAAAATTAATTTTTTTTTCATTGATCCATGTTTGCTTCTATGAGTGGTACTGCCAAATACTTATTTATCAATACATAATATATTATTATAAAGTGTAATATACTATTTTTAAATTATAACGCACACACACACACACAGACACATATATATATATATATATACACACATAAAGCCTTCAAAGGCTATTTAATCAACATTTCAAATGAGACGGACTTCTTCTTTTCAGAAAGTGGAGCAAAGATCAATTTAATGAGGTATTCTAAGCAGTGCAAATAAATAAATGAGCTATAAGTTAGAAAAAATTGACAAGAACAAATACGAGCAATAAAATGCATTCGTATTTTAATTTTCACGCTGCTGAAGGTTGTTAAATTTTGTTTTCTCTGTTATATTATTTATAAAAAATTACTTTTAAAAAATCAAAGGAGGGCTTCTAATATCAGGTTCTCCATCAAGTTTGAATGAACTGTGTCAAATACTTAAAAAAGAATAGTATTTTCCGGTTATTAATTAAAACGTATGTACTTGAGCAACTGATTATAAGCCCACTTCAAGAAATGATATAAAACTGTTGACATTAAAGCGTTGTTGCTCCTGTAATTACTGTAACTTAAATATAAATAAATTAAATCCTGTGAAATTTTTATTAATTATTGCTACATGGTTTGTAAATAAGCTATATATAGAGGGAGAAAATTTTTTTTTGCGATGCTGGTCCACAGATTCCAGGATTAATAGATCTCTCTGTATGAAAAAGGTTGGCCATCGTTCATTTTATTGTGATGGAAAATTATGAATATAATTCATTAATACGAAATAACATCTTTAATAATAAAAATTTATAATCTAAATAGTTTTTATTGAAATCATTAGAATATTGAAAATTGTGATCCATTTTTCTTCTTTAAATTTATTTTCCAATGCAACGTTCAGTTGTTATTAAACAAAAAACTTCAGAAGGAATTCTTTGATCTAAATAAATGGAGGGGGGAAATAAGTTGTAAAACATTATAAAATGTATTTATTTTTTTATAAAATATGTGTCTCAGATTGATGTTTTGATAACACATCAATGACTTTTGATTTGAAACACAGTACTTGGTTACAACATTTTATAAAGTTTCGTGAAATAGTTAAAGGGTGTTTTCCTTGGCGTTAATAGTCTCCAGATATCTGACAACTTCGTCGTTACCCTTCGTCTCCGCAACATCGAGGGGAGTCTTTCCTCGCCTGTCTAGCTTGGAAATATCAGCTCTTCCCTTGATCAGCAACTTTACGAGGTCGATCTTCCCAGACCGCGCCGCTTCATGAAGTGGAGTGTCTCCAAGGGCGTCAGGAAGGTTGACATTGGCGCCCTTGTTGATGAGGTGCTTCACCGCAGGAGTGTGGTTCTCCGCCACCGCCACGAATAAAGGAGTCCTCCTCAGCAACCCCTGGCTATTCACGTCCGCCCCATTGTCGATGAGGACCCTGACAACTTCTTCCTTTCCCTTGCGGGCAGCTTCGTGAAGCGGAGTGTCCTTGTTGACGTCACGGCTGTTGGGGTCAGCGCCCTTGGAGATGAGGAAGGACACCATGGGACCGTTACTGTATTCTGCTGCGTGGTGGAGTGGTGTGATTCTGGATTCACCGACTGGCTTCAAACTGGCTCCGTTTGCTACAAGCAGTTTTGCGGCGTCTAGCTGCTTTCTGGCGATCGCTTCAAAGAGAGGAGTGTAGCTCCATTTGTCGTGAGGGTCCACTTCGATCCCAGCATCGAGAAGGTAGTCTATGACATCCGTATGTCCGTTGTAGGCGGCCTTGTGGAGTGGAGTGGCGAGGTTCCTGTTCATCTTGTCCAGGGTGTCGTTCTTGGAGGCTAGGTACTTGACCACAGACAGGTGTCCCCTCGAGGCCGCCGGGAAGAGAGCCGTCTCCCCCGCCTTGTTCTCCGCAGCGAGGTTGGCCCCCGCGGAATGAAGGTACTCCACAAGAGCAGCCTCGCCGTTGAAGGCTGCCTTGTGTATCGGGGCGTCCCCGTACTTGTCCTGCGCGTCCAGATCCGCTCCGGCCTCGACGAGGGTCTTCGCCATCCCCAACATCCCGGACGATGCAGCCCAGTGCAGAGGAGTCCAGTCCATCGACGTGGACTCCTTACTGCGGCTGTTCACGTTGACTCCGCTTTTCAACAATACCTTCACTGCTTCTGAATTGTCACTAAGTACGGCTGATATAAGGTCTTCTGTGAAATCCTTCGCTTTTGCTTCAGTCACCTAAAACATAATGCAGTATATCATAAAGCATACACTTGTAATCAAAATAAATTTTAAAAAATATATCAATATAAACCTTGAACGGTCTTGGGTACAGTACTTTGTACGTGGGAACTATTTCTTGGTGAACTGCTATTCTAGGAAATTATTAGTTCTGGATCACACCTTAACCATTCGGTTTTTTCTTTAGTTAATTATTTAATTATAAGTACCCATGTGAGAGTCCCAAAAGCGGCGATTCTAGAGATTAAACAATTTATAATTTGGATATTTGTTATTATACTTGAAGAAACACATCAAAATTCCATATATTCATTTCTTTTTCAGAATAGGTTTAATTAAAAATCCTGCATTATGCAAAAGATTTTTTTTTAGTAACGAAAATAATAAATTAATTGCAGTTTTAAATTCATGAAATTGGATTATTTGAAATAATTTTATGGCCTATGTATAAAATTAAAAAAAAATATATCCGTATCAAATACTAGCAAAATTTTCTATTTCAATTTTATTTTTATGTACAATAACTTTTTATTCTAAATTTTTTCATTTTTATTTGAATAATAATTATTCTAAGATAATAAAAATTAATTATTCTCTATACAAATTTATAGTTGAGTCCACAAAAAAAAAAAAAATAAATAAATAAAAAGTAACACTTCCAAAATTAAATATTACAAGGATTTATAATTGCTCAATGGTAATTAAAACATCTCAAGAAACGTTTTGTTCTTTCCATAATCAATGCAAGATATTTACTTTGGTGTGCATTAAATAAATCGTTCTATATTCCGAATAGTCTTCAAGCTGCTTAATGTAATTATAGCTACTCAGCACAAAAAAAATTATATTTTTTTTAGTTTTTAATATAACATCATTTTCCATATGCCTGGAGGAATTTTCGATTTCACAACAGCCATTACGTCCAGAAGTTACGGCCTCCTATACGTGTTCTCATATTTTAAATAAATTTATTAGTATTACATTTTTTTACAAATTTGTGGAGACAATTCAACACTGCTTATCTTCATTCAATTATCTGGCGACCCGTCCTTGATCTGGCTGCGTGGCAGATATTTTCGTGCCATGTTCTATATCCGATTCGCTTCATTGGTGTCACATTAAATCTTTCTAGGTGTATTTATAACTATAATAAATCGTCTGTTGTATAATCCTCACCGCGTAGCGATAAATATTCAGTAGTTGAAGCCTTACTTTTTAAATTTGTTTTCTGTTTATAAAAGATAAATTACAGTGTATTTACCCTTAAATCAAAATGATATAACAGTATAACAATATAACATATATAACGTTAGTGACGAAATCGAAATTTAAAAAAAATAAATTAAATGATACCCCAACTAATGTAGTAAATTCGTGTGATTTTCCCTAAATTGATTGTTTTTATTCAATTTTATAAACTTCTTCTATCGACAATAAATTAGGGGAATAAAGGCAATGATGTGTTTGGAATCACCTTTGTTTTGAAAAATAAAAGCTTTATAGTAGTTATTTACATAAATAACATTTTTAAACCAGTAAAAACATATTTTTATACTACTAAAATAAATTAATTATGGTTTAAATATATTTTTTTGTTTTTTATCAAATTTCCCTCAATTAAGAATGAAGTGCAGTTCGGTAATTTATAAATAAACTCATTTTCTTCACGGGTATAAAAATCAATAGATTGGTCATAAAAGAAAATTTATATATATATTGACATAACCCTCTATTTTATTCTTGAAACTTATAAAAATAATCAAATTAATAAAAGTTTCTCTATTATATAAAAAAAGTTTTTAGTGACATTCATATCTTATTTTTATTTTGTATTATTATAGGAAGAGATAACATGAGCTTGGGGATTATTTTACGAATTATACAGCTGTTCATATAATTACATATGGTTGAGCTCCTTTTACCTCCTGCTCTCCTATAAAAGATTTTAGACTATAAATTTGTTCGAAAAATGTTTTTTTATGTTGATAAACAAATTGTTTTATGTTGATAAAAATAATACAATCTGAGCTACAGAATTCACGTAAATAAAATTTATATAATTTTATCAAAAAATA